GATCTCTGGCTCCTCTGCCTTTTCTAAACCCAGCTTGAACATCTGGAAGTTCATGGTTCATGTACTGTTGAAGCCTGGCTTGGAGAACTTGGAGCATTACCTTGCTAGCGTGTGAGATGAGTGCAATTGTGCGGTAGTTTGAACATTTCTTTGGCATTGCCTTTCTTTGGGATTGGAATGAAAACTGACCTTTTCCAGTCCCATCACTTCATGGCAAACAGATGGAGAAACAATGGAAACAGTGAGAGACTTAATTTTTTTGAGTTCCAAACTCACTGCAGATGGTGACTGCAGCCAAGAATGCTTGCTCCTGGGGAGAAAAGCTATGACCAACCTTTACAGCAAATTAAAAGCAGAGAGACTGTCCACAGAGGTCCGTCTAGTCAAAGCTACGGTTCTTCCTGTAGTCGTGTATAGATGTGAGCTGGGACTATCAATAAAGCTGAGAGCCAAGGAATTGATGCTTTTGAATTGTGGTGTTGCAAAATTTAGAGTCCCTTGAACTGCAAGGGGATCCAACCAGTCAATCCTAAGAAAAGTCAGTCCTGAATATTCATTGGAAGGACTGATGCTGAGCTGAAGCTCCAATACTTTAGCCACCTGATATAAAGAACTGACTCATTGGAGAAGACCCTGATGCTGGGAAAGATTGAAGGCAGCAGGAGAAGGGGATGACAGAGGGTGAAATGGTTGGATGGTATCACCAACTCAATGGACATAAGTGTGAGCAAGCTCCAGGAGTTGGTGATGGACAGGGAAGTCTGGCACACTGCAGTCCATGGGGTCNCCTCTGCCTTTTCTAAAACCAGCTTGAACATCTGGAAGTTCACGGTTCACGTATTGCTGAAGCCTGGCTTGGAGAATTTTGAGCATTACTTTACTAGCGTGTGAGATGAGTGCAATTGTGCAGTAGTTTGAGCATTCTTTGGGATTGGAATGAAAACTAACCTTTTCCAGTCCTGTGGCCACTGCTGAGTTTTCCAAATTTGCTGACATTTTGAGTGCAGCACTTTCACAGCATCATCTTTCAGGATCTCAGATAGCTCAACTGGAATTCCATCACTTCCACTGGCTCTGTTTGTAGTGATGCTTCCTAAGGCCCACATGACTTCACATTCCAGGATGTCTGGCTCTAGGTGAGTGATCACACCATTGTGATTATCTGGGTCATGAAGATCTTTATTGTACAGTTCTTCTGTGTATTCTTGCCACCTCTTCTTAATATCTTCTGCTTCTGTTAGGTTCCTACCATTTCTGTCCTTTATTGAGTCCATCTTTGTATGAAATGTTCCCTTGGTATCTCTTAATTTTCATGAAGAGATCTCTAGTCTTTCCCATTTTATTGTTTTCCTCTATTTCTTTGCATTGATTGCTGAGGAAGGCTTTCTTATCTTTCCTTGCTATTCTTTGGAACTCTGCATTCAAATGCATATATCTTTCCTTTTCTCCTTTGCTTTCCACTTCCCTTCTTTTCACATCTATTTGTAAGGCCTCCTCAGACAGCCATTTTGCTGTTGGGTTAACCAATAAGTTCATTTGGGTTTTTCCGTAAGAGGTAATGTTAAAAACCTGAATGAACTTTTTGGCCAACCCAATAATAATGAAAAAGTTTGAAATGTTGTTGAGTGTTATTAAGAAGTAAGCAAATGGTCTTGCAAAAATATTACAATAGAATTTCTTAATGCAGAATTGCCACAAAACTTCCATTTATTTAAAAAAATCTGCAAAGCACAATAAGATATGCCTATATGTACCTTATTTTCAAAGAACTGTGTTTTGATCTGTTTGGGGGCTGTTTGAGGAGAATGCCTACAACTCAATGACAACAACAAAATTTTTAAATAGACAATGGACCTGAAAAGACATTTCTCCAATGAATATATACAAGTAGCTAGCTAGCTTATGAAAATATGCTCAAAATCACTAATCATTATGGAAATGCTAATCAAAACCACTATCAAATATTACCTACACCTATTATGAGGGATGCTATTTAAAAAACCTGAAAAGAATAAGTGCTGGTGGGAATATAAAAGGGTGCAGCTTCTGTGAGGGACAGTATGGTGTTCTTCAAAAAAAAAAAAACAAACACAAAAAACTGAATTACCATGTGACCCAGCAATACCACTTCTTGGTGTTTATTCAAAAGAACTGAAAGCAGAATCTCAGGACATGTTTGTACATCCATGTTCATAAAAGCATAAGTGCTGGTGGGAATATAAAAGGGTGCAGCTTCTGTGAGGGACAGTATGGTGTTCAAAAAAAAAAAAAAAACAAACACAAAAAACTGAATTACCATGTGACCCAGCAATACCACTTCTTGGTGTTTATTCAAAAGAACTGAAAGCAGAATCTCAGGACATGTTTGTACATCCATGTTCATAAAAGCATTATGCATAGCAGCCAAAAGGCAGAAGCAAATGTCCATCAACAGATGAATGAATAAACAAAAATGTCATATATATACACACAATGGAATATTATGAAGGAAATTCTGACACATACAACATGGATGAACCCTGAGGACATTATGCTAAGTAAAAGAAGCTAGTCACAAAAAGACAAGTCCTGTATGATTTCACTTCCATGAAGTATCAGAGTAGTCAAACTCACAGAAACAGAAAGTAGAATGGAGGCTTTCACTGGTCAGGGAGCACAGAGGAACGGGGAGTTTTGTTTAATGGGTGCAGTGTTTCCGTTTTGTAAGATGAAAATATTTTGGAGGTTGATTGTACCATAACATGAATAAACTTAACACTACTGAACTATACACTTAAGAACATTAAGATGGTAAAACAAAACAAAAACAAGGATGCCTGCTTTGGCCACTTATATTCAACTCTGCACTAGGAATTCTAGCCAGAGCAATTAGGCAAAAAATAGATAAATAAAAGGTATTCAAACTGGACAGAAGAATGAAATTATCTCTATTTGCAGATGATATGACTGCATATATAGACAATTCTAAAGAATCTACAAAGCAACCATTAGAACTTGTGAACAAATTTGACAAAACAGGGTATAAGCTCAACACTCAAAAAATCAGTTGTATTTCTACATACCATCAATAAGCAATCAAAAAGGGAACTAAGAAAAGACTTCCATTTACAATATCATCTAAAAGACCACTTAATAGTAAATTTAAGCAAACATGTAAGATCTGTACTCTGAAAACTACAAAACAGAAAATCTAACTTACTGGAAAAACATCTCACGTTCATAGATACTATGACTTAATATTCTTAAAGTGGCAATATTTCCCAAAGCAGTCTATAGATTCAATGCAATCCTTACCAAAAACACAACAGCCTTTTTGTGTGGAAACAGACAAGCTAACATAAAATTCATATGGACTTGGCAAGGGACCTTGCTGTGGAACACAGTTTGCCAATTTCAAAATAAGCTAAACATAGAATTATCACATGATCCATCAATTTCACTCCTAGGAAAGAACTGAAAATAGGTCTTCAAACAAAAACTTGTACATGAATGCTCACAGCACTATTCTCAATAACCAAACATGGAGTCACCCCCAAATGCCCATCAAATGATAGATAAACAAAAGGTAGTATAGACAATGGAATATTTATTTGGTCATAAAAGTGATAAAGTAACAATACAAACTACAACATGGAAGGGTCCTGAAAACACACTAAGTGAAAGAAGTCACATGCAGAAGGCTACATGATTCCATTTATATGAGCTATCCAGAATAGGCAAACCCATAAGAAGAAAATAGATTAACAGTAGCTAGGGGCCGTGAGGAATGGGGAATAGCTGTTTATTAAGTGATGGTACTGCTTATTAGGATTCGCTGGTAGCTCAGCAGTAAAGAATCCATCTGCCAGCAAAGGAGATTCAGGTTCGATCTCTGGGCTGGGAAGATCCCCTGGAGTAGGAAATAGCAACCCACTCCAGTATTCTTGCCTGGAAAATCCCACAGACAGAGGAGCCTGGTGGGCTGCAGTACATAGGGTTGCAAAGAGTTGGACAAGACTTAGAGACTAAACAGTATGGGGTCTCCTTTTGGTATGACGAAAATATTCTTGAAGTAAGTGGTGGTCATGGTTGCACAACATCATTAATATACAAAATGTCACTAAATTCTACAGTTTAAAATGGTTGAAATGTGAATTTTATGCTATGTGTATTTTACCAAAATTAAAAAAGAAGAATCCCTTGCCAGACTCTAGAAAGATTTAGATTTTGCCCAGCCCTCAGGACCGTCACAAAGCCTGCGTCCTACTAAACAACCTAGGTCACTTGGTCTATCCAGATGGTCTCTTCTTTGAAAAACCATCAGTCCTAATGCTGGCTCTAATTCACCTGAATTATTTATCACGTATTTTCTTTTGCTATCCCTTAACTTTTCCTGTGGAATAGACAAGAATCATTCCCTTTACTCCAACCACTTTATGCAACTGCAAAACTGTCAAAAGAAGGTTCACAACATCACATAATGAAGTCTATCGAAAATTTTTTTATGGCTCCGTTTCACAGCTCAATAAGATCACAGGATCTGCATTTACCTACACGGCATCTTTGTACTACTACTGATCTGCTCTTCTATATCAGAGGTCAGCAAACATTTTCAGTAAATGTTCATAGTAAGTATTTCAGGTCTGTGAGCTGTCTCTGTCACACTCAACTCTGCCCTTGTAATCTGAAGGCAGTCACAGCCATAAATAAAACAGCATAGCTGTGTCTCAGTAATAAGTTTTACAGACACTGAGATTTGAATTTCACACAGTTTTCACATCACAGACTATTTATTACTCTTGATTTGTTTCTCAATCATCTAAAAATTCTTAGTGTATGGGCAATAAAAAAAAACAGGCAGCATGCCTCATTTGGCCCATGGGCTGTAATTTGCTGACTTGTGCTCTATATTTTCCCTGATGTTAACATTTATTTCTACTATTTCAAATGAATGTATAGGCATGGTATAAACTTCAAATAATCACTGTTAAGCAAAACTGTGCATAAATTAAACAACTCACCTGTGATGTGATCATTTTCTGTTGCTTCTGGAGGAATGTAGAGAGCTGAGAGAGTACACCTGAGAAAGAAGGAAAGGTCATGAGTGATATCACCTGCCTAAAAAGCTCCACCCTAGTAGCTGGCATAACATCTTAGAATGGGAGATGCCTTGAGAAGGGGCAGAAAGGATAACAGTAAGGGAGGGAGCACTCCATGCCCATGCATGACTCTGGTATGATTATGTAATACTTGGACAAGCTAGTTTTCAAATGTAAAAGCATTTGTTTTCTGCTCATTTGTTAACAGTGTATGCTCTAACATAGAGAAAATGTGAACAACACATTAAACTAATTGAGTCAATTAGGAAAAGCCAAAGAATACAACATTAAAACTGATGCTGAGCAAAAATATTCAGCACAAAAATTTATAATGTTCATTACAAACCAGAAAATCTCAACAATGTTCTGAAAAAAAGCATGGGGGGGGGGGGGGGGCAGAGTTTACTCTTAACTTGGTTTCCGGTCTCAACAGTATTTTTTAGTTAAAAACAAGAAACTGGTTTTAAAGCCAAAGAATACAACATTAAAACTGATGCTGAGCAAAAATATTCAGCACAAAAATTTATAATGTTCATTACAAACCAGAAAATCTCAACAATATTCTGAAAAAAAGCATGGGGGGGGGGGCAGAGTTTACTCTTAACTTGGTTTCCGGTCTCAACAGTATTTTTTAGTTAAAAACAAGAAACTGGTTTTGGCTTTTGTGTTCTTAAGGCAGAAAAGACCTACCTGGACCATCAAGAGACTCCATGGCTGTCCTTGATTCTGCCATAACAAAATGGAGGATTGTAAACTAACCACTTGTTTACCCACTTCCTGCCCACACCAACCCAACTCCATGCTTTAAGTAAAACATAAATAGATCGTCTTAAGTCCAAGCCTTAACAACCTGTCTTGCAGCAGCACCTCTGATTCTGCAAGCTCAGGACAGAGAGGACGTCAGGTATGTCTCTAGCTGTGCCGAGTGCAGGAGCAGCTCAGAATACAGCAAGTGGAGTAAAGAGTGAAGGGAGCAAGAAGGTAAACACCCTCTCCTGTGGCTGGCCAGCTCTTCCTTCCACAGGATGCCTTCACAACCTCCCAGCAAGTAGCACCTTCTGTTCCTTTTGTCCAGAAAGTTGGCCCAAGGTTTCCACCATCACTACCACCTGGTCCAGCAGGAGGACCAGTCTGCTCCTCTGAGGTCCCAAGCGAACTGACTGTCCTGCTAGAGACTCCTGCTCCCGGAATCACCCTTTCTACTCCACAAAAAGCTGTTCTGTTGCAAGAAAGGTGACCTAAGAGGGTCGAATATTTGTCCAAGCACTAAAGCTCCTGGAATTTAAGCGGGACCTCCTGTAAAAGCCAAGTAGGGCTCCTGAGGGCACAGGCAACCAGGCGAGGCCCTCAGTGGGGAAAAAAAGTTTCTCCGCCGAGAAGAAAAGTGCACACCTACTGGGAACCCTAAGCCAGTTTCTGCGCGGTCTTCCAAGGTCTCAGACCACCCCACACCTTGGAAATGAGAAAAACAAGCTTCACCTGGTAACAAGCGCTGGGACGTGCTGGTCCTCACTAGGAGTCAGAGTCACACCGAGTCTGAAGACAACGCCGTTTCCTCCTTCACCTGCCTCCCGGTCGCCTGTCTCAACTCTGCGGGGCTCCACCGAAACGTCCTGCTCAGCTGTCGGGTACAGACGCCTGAAGCTCCGGAATCATCTCATCGCGAGACTGTAGACCGGAACCTGCAGGCTAGCAGGGAGAGGAGGGGGAGGAGGGAGCGCACATGCGCAGAAGGCCATAGCTGCCGCCGCGTCCTGTCCCAGAAAAGGCACAGAGCATTTCTTGAAAGCTTGTTATTGTTCAGTCGGTAAGTCGTGTCTGACTCTTTGCGACTTCATGAACTGCAGCACTCCAGGCCTCGCTGTCCTTCCCTATCTCCTATAGTTTGCTCAAATGCATGTCCCGTAGAGTCGGTGATACTATCTAACCATCTCATCCTCTTCCGCCCCCTTCTCCGTTTTGCCTTCAGTCTTTCCCAGGACCAGGGTCTTTTCCAAAGAGCAGGCTCTTCCAGTCGGATCTTCAGCTTCAGCAACAGTCTTTCCAATGAATATTCAGGTTGATTTCCTTTAGGATTGACTGGTTTGATCTCCTTGCAGTCCAAAGGAGTCTCAAGAGTCTTCTCCATCACAATTCGAAAGCATCAATTCTTCATGTTTAGCCTTCTTTATGGTCCAACTCTCACATCTGTACCTGACTGCTGGAAAAACCAGTTTTTGACTGTATGGACCTTTGTTGGTAAAGTGTTGTCTCTGCTTTTTAATACGCTGTCTAGATTTGTCATTGCTTTCCTTCCAAGGAACAAGTGTCTTTTGACTGCAGTCACTCTCCCCAGGGATTTTGGAGCCCAAGAAAATAAAATCTGTCACTGCTTCCATTTTTTCTCGTTCTATTTGCCATGAAGTGATGGGACTGGATGCCACAATCTTCGTTTTTTGAATATTGATCTTCAAACCAGCTTTGTCACTTTCCTCTTTCACCCTCATCAAAAGGCTCTGTAGTTCCTCTTCACTTTCTGCATATCTGAGGTGGTTTCATCGCGAGACTGTAGACCGGAACCTGCAGGCTAGCAGGGAGAGGAGGGGGAGGAGGGAGCGCACATGCGCAGAAGGCCATAGCTGCCGCCGCGTCCTGTCCCAGAAAAGGCACAGAGCATTTCTTGAAAGCTTGTTATTGTTCAGTCGGTAAGTCGTGTCTGACTCTTTGCGACTTCATGAACTGCAGCACTCCAGGCCTCGCTGTCCTTCCCTATCTCCTATAGTTTGCTCAAATGCATGTCCCGTAGAGTCGGTGATACTATCTAACCATCTCATCCTCTTCCGCCCCCTTCTCCGTTTTGCCTTCAGTCTTTCCCAGGACCAGGGTCTTTTCCAAAGAGCAGGCTCTTCCAGTCGGATCTTCAGCTTCAGCAACAGTCTTTCCAATGAATATTCAGGTTGATTTCCTTTAGGATTGACTGGTTTGATCTCCTTGCAGTCCAAAGGAGTCTCAAGAGTCTTCTCCATCACAATTCGAAAGCATCAATTCTTCATGTTTAGCCTTCTTTATGGTCCAACTCTCACATCTGTACCTGACTGCTGGAAAAACCAGTTTTTGACTGTATGGACCTTTGTTGGTAAAGTGTTGTCTCTGCTTTTTAATACGCTGTCTAGATTTGTCATTGCTTTCCTTCCAAGGAACAAGTGTCTTTTGACTGCAGTCACTCTCCCCAGGGATTTTGGAGCCCAAGAAAATAAAATCTGTCACTGCTTCCATTTTTTCTCGTTCTATTTGCCATGAAGTGATGGGACTGGATGCCACAATCTTCGTTTTTTGAATATTGATCTTCAAACCAGCTTTGTCACTTTCCTCTTTCACCCTCATCAAAAGGCTCTGTAGTTCCTCTTCACTTTCTGCATATCTGAGGTTGTTGATATTTCTCCCATCTCAATTAGGATAGGGTCTGCGATAGAAACAAACTTATGGTTACTCAAAAGGAAAGGGGGGAAGGGATAAATTAGGAATATGGGATTACTATATATAAAATAAATAAACTACATATAAAATAGATCAACAATGACCTGCTGTATAGCACAAGGAACTATATTTAGTATCTTGTAATAACCTAAAATGGAAAAAATAAAAAAGTATACATATATGTGTATATATATGTATGTATATATATATGTGGATGTGCTTAGTCACTCAGTCATGTCCAACTCTTTGCAACCCTACAGACTGCACGCTGCCAGGCTCCTCTGTGCATGGGGATTCTCCAGGCAAGAATACTGGAGTGGGTTGCTATGCCCTCCTCCAGAGAATCTTTCTGCAACTCAGGGATAAAACCCAGGTCTCCCACATTGCAGGTGAATTCATTACCGACTGAGCCACCAGGGAAGCCCATGTATATATATATATATATATATATATATACTTACATATGTAACTGGATCAATTTGTGGTACACTTGAAAGTACACTGTAAATCAACTATACTTCAGTTTTTAAAAAAGGCTCTGCAATTTTGGGTACATTGGGTAGAATTGCCAGATTTAGCAAATAAAGTACAAGTCATGAGACACTCTTTTATTCGTTGTTCATCTGAAATAAATTTTAAGTATCTAAATTATGTATCTCTCATCAATTAAATTTCTGATATATTGGCTCTCCTTAATGATTCCTTGTTTTGAAGAATTGAGTTACATAATTTATTCCAGAGACTGTCCATTTACATGGTTCCATTTTCATTATATGTTACTTATTTCATAGGTTTATCTCACTTATTTCGTCCTTTGGACATTCATTAATGAGAAAACACATTTAGCTTTATGAATAGATATAATGGCATAAAGTTAACAACTCTGGGAACTTCTCTTCAAATTTGATTTGTTAAACACATAAGACCATCATTCATGGCACAACTTGCCTTTTCCACTCTCCAGGATCACGTTGGATCTCTCTGATAAAAAATTTTTTTAACATGTCCACTAACAAAAATACTTTTTGTCAGTTTTTTCCTTTCCCTTTTAACACTATGATTCTTTCACTTGTCCATATGCTAGGAAAGCAGTTAGTAACATCCATGTAAAAAAATCAAATTCTTTAAGAGATGAAACTCATTTCAAAATACAGTCATAGCAAGTACAATAATGATTATCCACATAATCATTTTATAATCATTATTGAAAGAGGAGAAATTGCTCTTCTCTCAATTTCCATAATTCTATTGTTAGAGATACCGAAAACTATGAAGAAGAAATAAGCAAATTAGTTTCATTTAATGGAATATTTAAAAAGTTAAATAAGAATTTTGGGCCTTTTCTGGAGAATTAAAATATTTCAGTGCTTTAAATATTAAAACTGAGAACTCTTCCAGCTGTATTTGTTAAAGAGTGTCAATGAATTTCTGAATGCAAGAGAAATGAAGAATACTGACTGCCAACAAAAGTTACAAAAGTCCTTTAATCATTCAATTCAAATGTTAATAGTATAAATGCTGAAGAGAACAACTTCATGTCAATTACTTCAACATCAATAGAAAAAATATCTCTATTTGAAGAGCAAGTATTATGAAGAATGTGGCCCGACAGTCAACACCCTCCACATAATCTTTCATGCTTTGTTTATCCTCAGAATAAACATGTCTTCACCTTTATGTAAACATCCACCAAAATTTGTATTTGTATTACATTGATCAAAAGCAGTGTAGAAGCAAGGGGAAATATGTATTTTCTACATCGTAATTGCTTGTACCCATGGCTATGTTGAAAAAAAAGATGAGGCTATTAAAACACTGATAATCTCTGTAATCATAAGTGAAGCTATTATTTTTGTTGTTGCAGTGAACTTTATCTCGGCACTTGAAATTATGATTGCAACTTTGGAATCAGAAAATACTCTGCCAGTACTACATTAGGTCATTTGAGCTGAAAGAATGATGATGGTATGGAGGGTATTTACAGCTTCTGCTTCAATTACTATATCTCAATCTGAATTCCTGTTAATCAAAAAAATTATTTTATCTCTTTCTTTTGTACTAGTTCCCCTGGAGAAGGAAATGGCAACCCACTCCAGTATTCTTGCCTGGGAAATTCCATGGACAGAGGATCCTGGTGGGCTACAGTCCATGGGGTTGCAAAGAGTCAGACATGATTTAGTGACTGCTGCTGCTGCTAAGTCGCTTCAGTCGTGTCTGACTCTGTGCGACCCCACAGACAGCAGCCCACTAGGCTCTGCCGTCCCTGGGATTCTCCAGGCAAGAACACGAGTGGGTTGCCATTTCCTTCTCCAATGCATGAAAGTGAAAAGTGAAAGTGAAGTCGCTCAGTCGTGTCCGACTCTTCACAACCCCATAGACTGCAGCCTACCAGGCTCCTTGGTCCATGGGATTTTCCAGGCAAGAGTACTGGAGTGGGTTGCCATTGGCTTCTCTGGACTTAGTGACTAAGCAACAGCAATATCCTATTTGAGGATAGAAGATTGAATGTTTTCCTCCTAAGAATAGGAACAAGACAAAGATGTCCACTATTGGGGAGATACAAATAAAAATAAAATCTTCAAATTCAGAAAATCTCTTCATATTGCAAAAGGAGGAAAAGAAAACATCATTTCCTAGACCCAGCATGATGCATTGATGTGCTTGCCCTGCATGGTGGGAAAATGCCCCTCTGCCATACCTCTTTTTTCTTTCAAAGGGCACACTGTGATCAAATCAGGTGTCTTTTCCTCAAGAAGCTCCATGGATACTCCATGGAGTAGAATAGAGAATAGAGTAGACTAGAGTAGAGAATATGGTAGCCTTTTAGTTGCACAACAGGTCTCTCCTCAACAGGCTTATAGAAGGATTGGGAGAAACCAAGAACACAGGCCCCTCAGTTAAAGGACCTAACCGCAGGGGAACTGTAGAGGAAAAGGAATAAGTAGACTGATGCAAAATACTAACAGTGTGTAACCAGCTGTTGTACCAGATGGAAAATGAGAAATTCCTGAGGAAACTGCAGGATAAGCAGAACTTTTATCAGAATGGGCAAAGAG